ATATAAATAAATATATATTTAAAATATAATTAAAATATTCATATGAAGTTTCTGTTACACAATAAATATACAGACCTTGCTTAGCAGTTAAGCAGTAGTTATGCATTTACTGGAACTCCTTTACTGAAGACATACAGTCTTTAGAATAACTGACATGTAAGAACCAGCATGTGTAAAATATACACTTTGAATTCAGGCATTAGAATGTGAATATTCTAGGGGGTGGGGAGAACTTTAATGCAGTATGTATGAGGGAAGTTTAAGTGGAAGAAAGCAGGATGGCAAAACTTTTGAAAGGAAGTATTTAGGTGTCTTTGAGAAACTAGCAATACAGCACTTGAAGGTACTTATTTGAAAAGCTGTTGGCTACAAAAGACTACTTGAGCTGGTCTTAGTTTGCTGAAGAAGGATGTGAATTATTTGTTAGCCTTTCTGTCCTGATAACAGACTGGTAGTAATGGTCTAACCTGGGAACATCTTAAAAAGCATAAGGAGTCAGACTCTCAGTGAAGTCAATTCTTATCACAGAATGGTTTGGGTTGGAAGGGACCTTAAAGATCATCCAGTTCCAACCCCCCTGCCATCAGCAGGGACACCTTCCACTAGGTCAGGTTGCTCAAAGCCTCATCCAGCCTGGCCTTGAACACTTCCAGGGAGGGGGCATCCACAACTTCCTTGGGCAACCTGTTCCAGTGTCTGACCACCCTCACAGTGAAAAACTTCTTCCTAATATCTAATCTAAACCTCCCCTCTTCCAATTTAGAGCCATTTCCCCTTGTTTTATCATTAACTGCCCTTATAAAAAGTCCCTCCCCAGCTTTCTTGTAGGCCCAAATTCTTAACATGCAGAGTACTGACTGGGCTACACTGTCTTTCTCCAAAGAGGACTGGCTATGTAAATAGCAGGCATACCTGATAAGAATATACAAAACACTGGTCAGCGTTACAGGAGGATGATTGCTTGTAAAACAGACTTAACAGTGGGTTTTGTTTTGTTTCAGTTTTTTAACTAGTTTCTCTCATAATATTACCAAGTCACCTTCTTTCAGATTTTATTGTAGATACTACAGCAGTCCATATTTAAAATCATATTTACCTTCTTTATCTCCTCGAACACTACCTGCAAGAAATCTTGACACCAATGGCGTGCTCGACAAAGATAAACAAGTGGAAATGAAGACACTTTGTGTTGGTCTAATTTGGAGCAAATGTCCCCATAGTAAACCAAAGGCAATCATCAGAACCGTCATGTAGCAGGGTCCTTGCAAAGATATTTTCCATACCTCGGTAAGAAAACAAGTTTTATGATAAAGTCTGACGACACTTTTCTCACCGATAAGTTACAATGATTTTCAGCTCAAATAAGCAGTTAAAGATGCACGATTTGAGGCTGCAGTGCTGGGCCACAGAAGTAACAGTCTGTCATCCTATACATCCTAAAACTCATAACATAAAGTTATTATGCCTAGTAGATAATATTCTATGTCAGAAGGCTCATTACCAGAATTAGGCAAATTTCCTAGAGCTCACAGGCGAATTAAGGGCCAAGGCTCTAGTATGGGTTGAAATGTATTAAAATAATCAAATGGAAGACCAGTTATTTGACACGATTCCAGGGTGGGGGAAAAATGGGAGTGGCAAAGATCATGATCAATACCAGCAGCCCGCTCCACACACGATTCTGAAGTGACAATTTACATACTACACCGTAGGAATCCTTGAATTATTGATTTTTATCTTTGACTTTAGATGGACTCCAAATAGCAGATTAAGCTGAATGCTCATAAATTTTAACACATTTCAGTTAAACCTTTTATAGTCTCATGAATTCACAACCACCACTTCAGGAACAAATCACACAATGCAACTCTTTACATATATACAGTCTTTACGTATTTTACAGCAGTATTTTCCACTATTAAAATTCTAGCTAATTTGTGAGATACTTTTCTTTTTTTTTTTTTTAATTAGGACCAAAAGAAACTTGTACCTTCTTGCTGAATCCTGATGGCCATATCAGGCAATATTCCAGATTGTGCTAACCTACGTGCAGAATCAGTTTATTAGCCAGTACAGCACGTATCATCAATTCAGTATGCAGTACTTAACAAACTGATTTTTTTTTTATAGCAGGACTGGCAAACATCACTGGATGCTCCATAACAGCAACTGCATGTTAATGCATGTTAAAATAATCAGAGATGGATTGCCATAAATGGTGTGAGATTTTTCTAGTTATCAAACCGTTTTACTAAAATGAAGAGGAATAGTAAAGGGTTTTTTTTGAGACACTAAATAAATAATGCATTCTGTTCTTTCCAGAGTTAAAGAGAAGAAGCAAATGTCATATGTGTCTTTTTAAAAATGTACAAAGCTACACCAGCATATTACAGGGAGAATGTAAAAATCTGAAATAGAACTTATAATTTGCACATTAGCAATTAAATCCTGTAATGTAGAAGTATTATACAAAAATACCTTTCTTAATCTTTCAGGAGAAAATTCCAGACCAACTAGAAAGAGAGTGAAGAATACACCAAACTCTCCTAATGTCTCCACCTGTACAATAGACTTTAAGAAAAAAAATAAAAAAAAAATCAGTGCACAGCAGTTTATTCATCATACAAATTATAAGTCCACTTAAAAAACCACATTGTTTCTCATTATGTTTCCATAGGTTGTTTACTTGGTCATATGACATCAGAAGTTCCCTCAGCATCTTTAGGGTTCAAACATTCTTCCCCATGACCTGGCTGCTACTAGATAATTTGGTTGGCTAGTCCTGGTCACTCAAAATGCACATGTGCATTGATCTAGGTAAGCTAGCTTCCTTGTTGAAAATAAATAGGTTATGTTTTATGCACATGCTATTAAAGCTCCAAGGCTTGCATTCCAGAGTTACTTCTCAATAGCTGGCCAAAGGAAACAAGAGGAGGGGGAAAGGCAAAGACTCATATCCAGTTCTACCATATGGAATAGGAGAAGGCAAAGGAAGTTCCCTGTAGCCCATGGAGATTCCAACAGCGGAGCAGAGACTCACGTGTAGGCCATGGAGGACCCATGCTGGAGCAGAGAAGTTGAGCTTGAGGGCAAGTGAGACTGGAATTGTGACCCCAAGAGTCGCTCAATACCAGAGCGGGGGTGGACCCCCAGAGTAGGGGGTGAGTCTGCAGCCCATGGATGTCCCCATGCTGGAGCTGGGAGCTGAGCCTGAAGAGGTCCATGACTCCCTGGGAAGCTGCTTTGGAACACTTTGTGCCTGGGCTTTCATGCCAGGAATAGCGGCAGAGGTGAACTGACTGCAACCCCTATTCCCTGTCCTCTGTGCCGCTCAAGGGGAGAAGGTAGAGAAATCGGGAGCAAAGTGATTTGAGCCCAGGAAGAAGGGAGGGGTGGGGGAAGGTGTTGTAAGATGTGGTTGTTATGTCTCACTGTGCTACTCAGATGAATGGCAACAAATTAAATTGATTTTTCTTCCCCAAGTTGAGTCTGTTTTGCCCGTGACCATAACTGGTGAGTGAGCCGTCCCTGTCCTCATCCTAATCGGTGCCCCTTTGTTGTGATTCCCTTCCCATCTCACCGGGTGGGGGGAGTGAGTGCAGGACAGCATGGTCCTACCTGCGGATCAAACTACCACAAGTACAGAGAGACAAAAGGAGAGGGCATGAACAAGAGACCCAGTCAAAAGGAACACTATCCAGATGAGTAACATATAATCATAGCTCCACAAGAAACAGGCAGCTCGCTACGAAACTGTCCTAAAGAAACCTTCCTCCTCTCTGTTCTGACCACATCGCCTTCCTCAGTGTAAGTCTCTGAAAACTGATTGCTGAATCCCCTTCTAAAGCCAATCTTACAAACTTGTTTCTCAGTCTAAGTGGTCAAGTTTTCCAGACCTTCTCAATCCAGAAGTTATGTATGACACAAAGGTCATTATTTAATCTCAATTTTAGAATATTAAATTTTGAAAGTGTAGTATTTGTAGCCTTCTCTTCAGATACAAAATTGGCAAAATCCTACAATTTCTACTCATCTACTTGCTTTTAAGCCCAACAGTCACTCTCAACAACAGTCTGCCTAAGAGTGGAGGTTGCAAAGACAGTAAATTCCAAGCAGGTACTTGGATATCAGTGTATCAGACACACATAACTTCACTGGACATTGCCATGCAGCCTTAACACGTGTTCTGTTTTGCCTGTTAGCTAAACAATCTGTTAATGCACACCAGAGCACTAATCAAAATACATGCAGTGTCTAACCAACCACAGCCCATGGTTTCACATCCAGCTAGCCATCAGGGTACATGTAATGGAGCTAAAAAGGTTCAAGAGACTTCAGGAATGTGGGCAGGGGACTGGAAAAGAACCAGGGTGACTAGGATGGATGAAAGAACTACACAGATGCAAAATTACTCTCTGGGAAGCCAAGCCATGCTACTCAGGGAACTACTTGTTTTAGACACTTCCTCCACTGCCAACACTGACTTTTTGCAAGTTCCTGACTATTTGATATCATTTAAATAATTTGGCTCTCAATGTGATGCTTTATGATTAAAGATAAAAAGAAAAAAAAAACATAAACAGAAAAAACCCCACAACATGCAATCTTCAGGTTTCACTTTCAACAATTGCTTATGTCATGATTATATAGGAGAAAAACAACTGGAAACAAAGTGATTCAAAGACAAAGTTTTAAGACCTCATTTTGCAAAGGTCCAGGTTTGAGGATTTTATTTTTTTTTAAATACATTTTGAGGTTGGCAATACTATATCCCTTTAAAACTACTTTTAAACATTTCAATAAATGAAACAGTCAAGAGCAAGCTGCACACTTACCTTGATACTATTTAGTCCTGATGGTCCTAAGAGTACTCCACAGATAATATATCCAAACATGGTTGGCAATCCTATTGTCGTGCACAGCCAGCCACATGGCAAAGACAACATTCCTATTGTCACAATATCCTAAATATATAAGATTTACAAATGTGTTAATATAAAGGACACACTAATTTGTGATGAAATTAAAGACTACTATCTTTCAAAAGACAAATAGCATGGTAAAATTAAATGTAGAATACTGCCTGTGAAAAGAAAACACAACTTTATGTTAAAACAAAATGGTGAAACAGATCCACTTTGGTTTTGGGTTGTTGTTTTTTTTTTGTTTGCCTTTTGGGTTTTTTTGGTTGTTTTTTTGTGGGTTTTTTTAAATCACAATCCAGTTATTATTCATGAAGCACTAATACAATAAAAACCCATGTCTATGTATTTTCCAGTATCCCTGTTTTTCATCATAAGACATGAAGAGATAAATTCTCTCTAGTGACAATATGCAAGTGTCTTCTCAGGCACAGCAGTAGTTTGCTTTAACACTGTGCCATCTAAGAGAAGTGATGCTGCCCCAAAGGTGCAACAAGTTAAATCAAATAAAAACCAGAGAGGATCCATGCAGCCCCACAATCAGTCTTGTGAAGACTATAGTAGGAGCAGGGAACACGTTAGCCAGGTTACCAGTAGACAAGGGAATCATGAATGCTAGGGTAGCTTCAGAGGGATGGATGCTCAAACTATATTCAGTCAAGCAGTAGTAGCATGCAAACTAGTGGGAGTAAGTCTTACCAAAACAAACAACAGGAATGTCTCTAGAATTACTACCTTTATGAAATGATGATCAGCACGAGGAATGGTTGAATCTCTGGGCTTGGTAAGGATATACTGATTGTTCTGGGAATCAATAAGCATACTAAGACCTAAGTCATCCTCTACTTCTCTTTTTGAAGCATTTCTTTTGGAGTTGGCTTCATCTTCTTCCACCCTTAAAACTGCTTCAAAGTTAACACCTCTTACCTGTAAGTAAAAGAATTTTTTTTAACAGGGCCCAGGGCAGGGGCGTGAAGGTGTCAATGAAGCCTACAGTAAAAAAGAAAAGACTATTAGCTGTGCTTAAAGTTGCTCCAAAATTTGTTGACTAAACACACTTCAGTTTCTTCTTATAAAAGTCTTTCAGTCTCTTTATAAAAACTTGATGTCCATAACCGAAAAGGTTATTTTTTTACATTTTAAAAATTAGGGTTTTTCCATACCTCTTTAGTCAAGTTGTTCAATCAAAAAATATAGAGACAGAGTTTCAAAGCTGTAAAATTCCAATTCAGTATTTTCAATGGCATCTAAACTCAAATATTTTTTTAAAAAAGCTTTATCACTTTTAGAACACAAAAAGTTGGATTGAAATGTAACATTTTATTCCCTTAAACAAAAATAACGAGAGATTACAAAGTGATATTCAGTTCACAATAATCTGAAATAATGACTGCAGTCCAAGTTAAAAAAAAAAAGTCACTGTCCTGTAAATTTAAAGGAGAGAAGATAAGAATTGTTTCTACCTAGCTCTGTCTTCAGTGCCTGTAATTACAAAGTGGAAGACACTAGGATGATTTATCATTCATGGTATTTTAAATATTGTAGATTTTACCAATATTGAGAAACAGTTAAGGTTGTTACTTCTTTTAGACTCCAGTAAAGAGTAGGCTGTTGTCACTGCAATGACTGACTACAACACATTCAGCTTTTCTGGACTGACATATTTTGCCCAAACACCTCCCCATTTTAACAAAGAAATACATTCACATAAGCCATCTGTAAAACACTCATTTTTCTTTGCTGATTCCCCAGCACTTTTCCCCAAATTGTTCAGATAAATATAGCATTTTCAATATTTAATATTTAACCTGCAACTTCTTTTCTTCCACTCCTTACATTTGTACTTGTGTATAATTAAATAAAAACTTTTTTCATGGGAATGACCTCTTCCCTTGGTTTTGTACATCATGCAATATGATGGGCCTCTGAAGAATGGAAAGTCACTAAAATCAGACAGAAAAAAAGGAATTTGCAACAAATCACGAAGTTTGCAGAATTATTTAGAAGCATAAAACAGCTGCTTCAAACATCAGCATTTTTAGCTGTTGGAGTGAGAGGCTGATGACCATTTTCTTTTCATGCATTATGTAAATTCTATTTTCACCCTTTTTTGCTCAAAACCTGTGTTTTTATATATATTTTGCCTTTACTTCCCTAAGCTCCCCACTTACCAGGCTATTTTGCATTCCAGAATGAGGTGTCCATTGCTAAGTCCAAGAGACCAAACCACGTTTTCAGCTGATGGGAGAAAGCAGCAGCAGCTGCGTGCCACATACATGCAAACCATTCTCACAGTACTGGAGTAACAAGAAAGACTTCCCCACAGTCAGCGAACATGAAGAACTGTTTCTAATCAGAATACACACAATAAGTGCCCAATCCTACTGTTCTTCTGTCACCTTTGCTCCTGACCCCCTCTCCTACACCCTTATTACTACTCCAGGCACAACAAAACAGAGCTTAGAGATCAATGTTAAATGTGGGCTCCAGAATTTAAAATTTATACTGATGTTCACACTGAAATTATTTCACTGTTCAGTGCAGTGTCCCCATCTTGCAGATGACTATTATTTTGCCTAAAAACCAAAATGCTAATAATCCAACGTCTGTTCTAATGTCTTCTTGGGAATTTAATGTTATGACATTGGCAACTGTGTTCACTAAGCAAAATTATCTTGTAATATGCATCAGCGGTGAAGCACCTACTTTGAAGCTCTGGAACTTCAAACTGATATTGAGTTTGCTACATTCTTTTGTATTTGGTGGCTTATGTGTCTGGAAACCAACCAAACTTCTCTGCATCAAAGTTAAAAATGTATCAAGGATAATATAAAAGCAATGCAGTTGGGTAAATACATTCCTCATCTAGTGGAGTTCACAGTCTAAGTCAGAAATAATACTAGGAAAAAAAAGGGAAGATGTTTATAAGATTCAGACAATTATGAAAAACAAACTGTTTTTTCCTGTGAAATACATATATAAATCATACATTGTGTAGATACTATGGTGCATTTTTACTTTTACAAAAGAAAAGGGAACTGACTAAAGACAGACTGTGCTAGAAGAGCAAGAGTAGATGGCACAGATTCAGATGAGCTTTTAAATACTAATAAATTTTTGAACAAAATTATAAAAAGTGCTTATTTTCATTATTTTATTTCCTGAAACAGCAAATCCTGAAAGCGAGTTGCACATAACAGAATACAGTGTGTAAATACTCTTGCTTTGCATTAAGGAGGGTAGCTCAAATTCTTCTTTTTTTTTTTTTTCATTTGTACCTACTACACTTTTCTATTTGATTATATTTTAATAGAGGCTTTTGTATCTTTATCGGATTACTGATGATTCTATTAGAGCTTCTCTGTTATAATATTCCCATGCTTTTCTCTAGCTTAAGAGAAAACATGCTAGATATTTCTTGCAAAGATGGACATGTAAATAGTCCTCCAGGTTGCAATTCATGATTCCTTTTCTTTCATGAATAGCGATACAAGCAGAAAACCGAAGAGAGACGCTGGCGAAAAAAGGATGTATTGGCGTTTTGCCAACTAACAGGTGCAGCAGAAGAAACCTCATCCCTGGTCTTTCCAAACCGTGCCGTCATACCCCAGCGGAACAGCAGAGGGCACTCCAGCTACCGCGTCCCTTCCCCGTTGCTGCTGCTGCTGCTCCTGCTCCTGCTGCTGCTCCTGCTCCTGCTGCTGCTCCTGCCAGGTAGGATTCCCACTGGGGACAACCGCTGCGAGCTGGTGCACACGAAATAAAAACCGGCTTTCATTTTCACCATGAGCCAGCACTGTGCCCTTGTGGCCAGGAAGGCCAAGGGCATCCTGGGGTGCATTAGAAGGGGTGTGGTTAGTAGGTCGAGAGAGGTTCTCCTCCCCCTCTACTCTGCCCTGGTGAGGCCGCATCTGGAATATTGTGTCCAATTCTGGGCCCCACAGTTCAAGAAGGACAGGGAACTGCTGGAGAGAGTCCAGCACAGAGCCACCAAGATGATTAAGGGAGTGGAGCATCTTCCTTATGAGGAAAGGCTGAGGGAGCTGGGTCTCTTTAGCTTGGAGAAGAGGAGACTGAGGGGTGACCTCATTAATGTTTAGAAATATGTTAAGGGTGAATGTCATGAGGATGGAGCCAGGCTCTTCTCAGTGATGCCCAATGGTAGGACAAGGGGCAATGGGTGTGAGCTGGAACACAGGAGGTTCCGCTTAAACTTGAGAAAAAACTTCTTTACAGTGAGGGTGACAGAGCCCTGGGACAGGCTGCCCAGGGAGGGTGTGGAGTCTCCTTCTCTGGAGACATTCAAGACCTGCCTGGACACCTTCCTGTGTGATCTCATTTAGGTTCCTACTCCGGCAGGGGGGTTGGACTGGATGATCTTTCGAGGTCCCTTCCAATCCCCAACATTCTGTGATTCTGTGATTCACTCAGTAGAGTGAAACTACAAAAAATGGCCAAAACCACAGCGACTTTTTCCTCCTCAACAGAATTCACAAGCTATGCTCGTCTCAGAAGTCACCCTGCAAATCAACAAAAACCTTTCAGAAGCAAAAGCCAAATAAAATTGCAGGCCATGTTTATGCAAAACAGGACCGATTCAGGCAGCCAGTCTCCGAGCTTGGCACAATGGGACACCAGAATAAACCGACATACTCCCAGCTCCAAACACAGACACAGCCTTACCTGAGGGATACTGTCCATCATGCAACACAGAAACAGTGAACAATGAGAACAGGCCAAGGTACGAAAAGCAGAGTAACTCAGAAGTAGAAGAAAGGAACTCCACAAACACACTTCAGGTCCTTACCTTGAACAATATATCTTTTCCCAACCTGTGAAAACTAACTGCAGGGATTCTTGTTCTCCCATAACTTTCTCAACAAAACAGAAAAGAAAAGAGTGGAGACTATGCTTAATATGGTCAACTCCGTATCCTGCAAAGCGTAAATATCAGTCCCCACCACCACCACTGAGATCTCATAACGCTCACGGGCTGTATCGGTGAGATGGACACCACTTGTCATTGTCAAAGTGGCAGCTGCAGGGAGGAAGGCCACTCACATCAAAACCACAGAAATCACTAGTAAAAAGGAGTGATTATTCCTATTTGCTCACTCCTAGCAAACGATCATTCTACCTCTAAATACTTTCCTCTGTTGAAAGAGAAGTTAAAACAAATATAGAGCCAAAAGGGTTTTGTTTTGTTTTTTTTAAATAGTCACTAAAATCCTAACAGCAATTTAACACAAGGAAAACACCCTTATATCTACTATAAACAAATCAATATCAACAATAATTGATATAAATTATTATAATTTAGTTGATATAAACAATATCAACTAAAAACAAACGCACACCAATGAAAAGACTGAGACCACTTACAGATTTGTTGTCATCAAAGGCATGCTCTTCTATTTCTTCTTCCAGTCTATCAGCTGCCTTCCTGACATCTTCTAGAATTTCATCAAGCATTGACAGGCTTTTGTTTTGATGCTGCATGTTCTTAAGGGCTTCCACCTGATGTTTTTCTGCTGCCAATAGCTCAACGTATTCCATCTCTTCCTGTTGAATTTTACAACACACAGATAAAGTGCTGGCCAGGCCTTTGAGCAGGAAAGCGTTTGACATAAATATACGCTTCTTTTGACACAAAACATCTTACAAGTGAAATTGCAAAAGCAGTGTAGACTTTATAATGGTATTTTGAAGATTGCTTTCTCCTGTGGTAATTTTCACTGGGGCAAGTGGGGAAGAAAAACAACAAAACAAACAAACAAAATATCCACCAATTGCCTTTTCTAATCCATTAAACACTGGATCTGCCCCAGGGTTGTGATCCAGAAAATACAAGAAAGGAGTTACTCGGAGGAGCTCTAGGAAATATTTCAGAGCCAAGCAAAGTTTAGAGCTCAATGCTTTAGCAGGGAAGCACAATAAACGTGGAAGCACAGCTTTACTAGCTACAACAAACACATTGGAAGAAAAACACAATGAATCTTAATTTTATAAGCCATTTTATAAACATGGGAAGAGGCCTGTTTATGGTTTTCAAGAATTACAATAACTGTGGAAACAGCTACAAAAAAAAATAGAAGCAGTTGGCAAAGAGTAGAGATGAACAGTCAAGTACTCTAGCTGAGGTTCCTGTTTATGTTTCTCAAGAAGCATTTTTCCTATCAAAAATAAAATACCTGACTTTGTCCATCTTTTCAGTTTGGGCCTCTTATGAACTTGCACTAATGGCTTCCAAAATCCATTTCTAGGCTTCAGAAGTAGGAAAATTAAAAGTCTGATACGGTGCAAAAATATTTCAGTAGCTTCCCTGATAAAGTTATCAAGTTTCAGGTTCAAAAAGAGAACTAAAGAAGCTTTATTTACTGATCAAGACTTAACACCATGCCTTCTAGATGGTTACCAAGATAATAACCAAATTTAATACTTTGTGTATTGATGAGTATAATTTGAGGGTTTTTCTGGGGAAAAAAAAAAAAAAAAGATGCTTCATTTTACACCTACATGCTCTTAAAGATGCACTGGTTGAGAGAGAACAACTATGAATGAGGAAACACAGGCAATGGCAGGCTGCTTCCTTTCTGTTAGATTCAGGATGCTGAGAATATTTAGATGAGGGAGATCCTAAATCTGCTCTTTAGGAGCCAATATTATTACCAATGGAAAAAACAGACTGGGCAAAAAATATCAGCAGTCTCTAAGTAAGACTGAATTCCCAGAAAACACAAGTTTCTGTCTCCATTTTAGATGCTCTGCAATACCCAGTGAGAAACCAGGTAAAACACAGGTCTCCCTTAGGTTGTGTGTTTTATCCACCTACCCCACAGATACTTTGGATAACCCAGGCATCTAAAATGGCCCTAAACTCCTCTGTTTAAATAACTGGAGTGTCCCTTCCTCCACCTATGTTTGCAGATGGGCATTTTCCCCCTTGAAACCTGCAAGAATGTGCATATAATTTAATCAATTCCTTGATGCCAAGACAAGAGTTCAGTACAGCCCATAACTGCAGCTTAACCCTTTTAAAATCCTGACAGTCAGGTGAATACTCCTGGTTGTGATGAAACCACAGAATCGCTGGCTCTTGTCTCTTGGTGTTTAGAATCACCATAGTTACAGCAGCATGATGAAAATTACCCACCCGCTTCCCAAAATAACTGGAGTTGGGGAAAATTAATTAAACTATTAATGTGTTTGGCCCAATATCTATTGCTTTAGTTCTTATGCAACACGTAAGCAAGAGACACAGCCACTCTCATACAGCCTCAAGGAAAAACATTTCTTATCTATTGTTCTCTGCTGACAGACTTTGCTTGAGAGATGTAAAAAACCAGCCTCCCTATGAGCTGCAGATTCTTTCCTCAGTCAGCAACAACTTAGAATGGAATGGATAAGGGCTCTTTCCCCTCAGAAATGGAACAGGTTTTGGCTGGAGGGAGCTGATCAGTCCTTTCTGTTGGCTGAGACAAACTGGCTGAATGGAGTTACAGGTAAACTTCAGAAAAATAAAGCTCCAATTTGCACAAAGTTAACTTTCTCTGAATAACAAGGAAGAAGAGCTTTGAAAAATCTGAGATTAACTGTAAGTTCCTTTGCTTAATAAAGACAAAGGTTTTTGTAGTCTATTAAAGTGGCATCTCTGTTTTCACCTACAGAAGATCAGTGTCGTGGCAGTAGAGTGGGACAGTCAAAGAGAATGGTGTCCAGGAAAAGGACAAGCTATCCCTGACAGCCCGCTACACGTTAAGAAGTGCATCACAGTACCGACAACTGTCCGCAACTCGTGCTGGGACTGGAGACATCTGACCACAAGGTGCCCACCAAACACCTTGTAAGCAAGGTAATGCAGATAAGGATTGTGCGCTAAGCAGAACACTGGAACACCCAGAAACACGAGCAAAATGAGGTAAGATTAAGGAAGACTTTGGGGCAATGGTGGTTAAGAACACAGTGTTGCTGTTGCTGTCTACTGTTCCACCAGGGATGAAAAAAGCATGTTTAGAACAGGAAGCGTCTTTGCACTATTTGTGAGTTACTGTTTCCATCAATGAGTAGTGGGCACCCAAGAAATTACAAGCTGGTAAAAAGTAGTTAAGATTTTGTTGCTTTTTCCTGAACCTCCACACAGGTTCCTGGAACAAAGGAAAGCAGGAGCTATTTTCAGCACTTCTTCCTTCCCTACCCCCTACCATGAACGATTCCACTATAGCTTTTCCCAGCAGCAGGACCAGCAAGAAATGCATCAGGCATGCATACATATCCCAACACTAAAAACCCCCAAATACTTCAACTCAACAGAAATAAAACAAAGGGAAGAATAAAACAAAGGTGATTCTGCCCCTCTACTCCACTCTTGTAAGGCCCCACCTGGAATACTGCGTCCAGTTCTGGAGCCCCCAACACAAGAGACACATGGACCTGTTAGAACAAGTCCAGAGAAGGGCCACCAGGATGATCCGAGGGCTGGAGCACCTCTCCTATGAGGACAGGCTGAGGGAGTTGGGGCTGTTCAGCCTGGAGAAGAGAAGGCTCCGGGGAGATCTCATAGCGGCCTTCCAGTACCTGAAGGGGCCTACAAGAAAGCTGGGGAGGGACTTTTCATAAGGGCAGTTAATGACAAAACAAGGGGAAATGGCTCTAAATTGGAAGAGGGGAGGTTTACATTAGATACTAGGAAGAAGTTTTTCACTGTGAGGGTGGTCAGACACTGGAACAGGTTGCCCAAGGAAGTTGTGGATGCCCCTCCCTGGAAGTGTTTAAGGCCAGGCTGGATGAGGCTTTGAGCAACCTGGTCTAGTGGAGGGTGTCCCTGCTGATGGCACGGGGGTTGGAACTAGATGATCTTTAAGGTCCCTTCCAACCCAAACCATTCTATGATTCTATAAGAATAGAGCACCCTCTACAGTAATTTGTATTTTCCAATCATTCACTCTTTAAAAAAATGGAAAGGAGGTCTTACGAGCACACCAACAAAGTCAGCATTACGGTAAAATTAAACTGGAACAAAACTGAACTTAATATGTGTCTCCTGAAGTAAGAACAAGTCAAAAAAAAAAAAAATGCATCCCATGTAATTCTCATCATTGTGCCATGCATTTCCCTACTAACCTTTGTTTCACTTTATAGAACAATTCTAAGGTTAGAACAACAAATACTCTGTTTAAATAACCACGCGCTGACATAAGCAGGAAGGGTGTAAAGGATTGCGCATTTGAGTAAATATCTTGATATGGTAATATTAAAAAAAAAAGCCTACACACACAATCCACCTCTGCAGAAGTACAGTTGTGACAGGACACACATCTAAAACATCAACACACACACAGGCCTCCTCTCATGAGAAAAATGAAGAAGCACCATCTTGGGCTCAAGGACAGAGGACTTCAGTACTTTACAGCAACGTTGCCAAGAACTAGGTAAATGAGAAAGAAGATTCTGGACAGCTTCACTGCTGCTATTTCAAGAACTCTGAGGGGAAAAAAAGGTGAAAAATAAAATAATTGCTACCATTTCTATGCAGCTGAGGCTGGCACTACCGTTAAGTGCCAATATCAAACTCATATTGAGCAGTTAATTGGAACACACCTAGATCCAAGCTACTCCCTATCCAAATTTGTCGTAATTCAGTCTTTGTTCTCACTGCACAGACCACTCCAGTCTCCCAAGTCTGCATCCTAGCTTCTACTTCCACCAGCTTTGCTTACCATAATTCACTGCACACCTTTCTTGCACACAGTCTCTTGCCACCTTCACCTGTTAAGATCTGCACATCTCTCACACAAACCCCTTTTAGAGATTCTCACAACTCAGATGCTATGTCCCAATTACATATTTTTCCTTCTCTTGCTCCCTTGCACAAGGGCAGCTTTTTCTTTTAAAAGACAGAAAATAAAGAAAATTCTTAATATATTCTTCCAGTGGTTGAGGGGCAGAACAAGGAAAAGAGCAATTTAAATACCAAATCAATTAAACAATCTTTTCTCTCAATGGGAGACTTTCAGTACCCAGCCTGAGCACCACCAAGTCCAGTACACAGAGGCAGATTGTGCACACCCTCACAGGTCTGCATTGACATGGGAACTCAAATTTTCCATGAAGTACTTGTGCTCAACTGTTACTCATCTGTGCTTTTCTTGGTAAAGTTCTCTCAGCCAGCTCTTTCTTGGAAGTACTGTTTTCCAAACCTCCACTTCTTAGGCTAGGAGTCCTATACCAAGATTAAAAATCTAGTCACCTCATATCTTGCCTGTGCATTTACCCACAGCTATACACATATGGAAATAAAAGGCAAGAAGTAATTCTGTTTAAATTGTGGATTTTGGTTGAGCAATTCTCATTTGAAGTAGAAAAAACAGTCAGTATTTCACCAATTTACGGCATCATTTCCATTCTGATAATCCCACTGGTTTATCTGGTGTGATTGTGCTATGTGTACTGACTCATTTCTTGTATTCCTTTCCCTTTAACATAATATTTGTCATAGGTCATATGATTACCTTTAGCTCAGTGATGCCCAATGGCAGGACAAGGGGCAATGGGTGTGAGCTGGAACACAGGAGGTTCCACTTAAACTTGAGAAAAAACTTCTTTACAGTGAGGGTGACAGAGCACTGGAACAGGCTGCCCAGGGAGGTTGTGGAGTCTCCATCGCTGGAGACGAAATTCAAGACCTGCCTGGACACCTTCCTGTGTGGTCTCATTTAGGTTCCTGCTCCAGCAGGGGGATTGGACTGGATGATCTTTCGAGGTCCCTTCCAGTCCCTCACATTCTGTGATTCTGTGACTGCTAGTAAGTTTTAAGCTCTATATGAGAATTACTTCTAATTTTACTAATGAGAACAAATACTTCATTCAAAATCCATTTTAAACAGCAGAACACCACAATTTCCACATAGATGCATTTTTTATTAAAACAGATTGAAATAACCGTGCCACAATAAAATTAAAATCACAAGGAGAATATTAATACTCTAGTAATAAGCATGGGGGAACTAACCTTAATTGCAGCTTCTCTCAAGGCTTCCAGTCTCTGCCTGCTGCTTTCTTTCATATTCACAACATCTTTGTAATCACCCTGTAGAGCTCTCTGGAGGCCATGGATTGCCTGAAAGACTGAGTTTTCACTTTCATTGAGCTCCTTTTGGAAAATTTCAAAGGTATGCACCTGAAAAAGCTTCTCTTCGTCTGACAGTCCCGCATCCTTCTCGACTGCTCTTATCGCATTCTTTAGCTTGTTGAGAACAACGTTCTTCTGGCGAAGAAGGCCAGACAGTTTTCTGCAGCTCTCCAACACCCACTGCTTTCTCTGAGCGATACCAGCTCCTTTCCCACGGTGCAGCTTTATCGCGTGCTTCACTACATCCTCGTGTTCCGCGGGATTTGCTACCTGGCCGCAAGGCAGCGAAACCAACGTCCACAGAGAAATAAATCCAGCCGCCTTCATTCTTCACTTCTTACTGCTGTTGGGAGAATCTGGTAATCCACAACTGCTCACAGCTTTCTGCTACATGGTTTCTGCATCTCCAGTGTGCACATCATGCTGCAAGACAGTACCAAGCAGTTATCAAACGTGATTATGTAAGGCCATTGGGTCAAACAAGTGTAGAAAACAAACCTAAGGCTGCGTCCTACACTCTGATCTTTAACAAAACATATGCAGTCTCCTTCAGTCAACAGTTACTAAAAACAAGAAACAGCCCAAAGTTATTGATATATTTTTGTTTTCCCCTTGACTATTTTCTAGAGACCATCTTGTTTTAAAAACACTGAATGGAAAGCTTAGTCATAATCACAAGGTAGTCATCTGCCCTTCTTCTGGGATGAGAGAAAAGCCATTAAACCAGGGAACTGCTGGAGAGAGTCCAGCACAGAGCCACCAAGATGATTAAGGGAGTGGAGCATCTCCCTTATGAGGAAAGGCTGAGGGAGCTGGGTCTCTTTAGCTTGGAGAAGAGGAGACTGAGGGGAGACCTCATTAATGTTTAGAAATATGTTAAGGGTGAATGTCAGGAGGATGGAGCCAGGCTCTTCTCAGTGATGCCCAATGGTAGGACAAGGGGCAATGGGTGTGAGCTGGAACACGGGAGGGTCCGCTTAAACTTGAGAAAACACTTCTTTACAGTGAGGGTGACAGAGCCCTGGGACAGGCTGCCCAGGGGGGGTGTGGAGTCTCCTTCTCTGGAGACATTCAAGACCCGCCTGGACGCCTTTCTGTGTGATCTCATTTAGGTTCCTGCTCCAGCAGGGGGATTGGACTGGATGATCTTTTGAGGTCCCTTCCAATCCCCAACGTTCTGTGATTCTGTAAATCTGTGATTAAAAATATTAAGCCATGATGCCATAGGCTGCACTTCAACCTAGCACCAGAATTCATTCTTCTTATCTATCAGTAAACCTCTTGTAGTTTTCCAAAACTGTTATTCATAATCATTTGTTATTTATTCAGCCTCAGAATATTGACACATGCAACTATACAAAACATAATGAAAAAAAGCTTAACTGAAACAGATTACATTAGAAGTCATACTCGTGAAGGAAACATTTCTAAAAGAAATAGCAGCAAAACTTCCTGGACTTCTGAGCACTACTACTTTGGATCAAAGATCTTCACCTGAAAGGTTGCATGGCCTTGAGGCATTTTACTTCAAAGCTAACTATTGATCCTCATTATTTTAAACCAGAGCTATAAGAACACTAAAAGTAAAATCAATTCATTCTTAAGGTCATTTCCCAGAAGCTACTTGAAGATCTATATTTAAACTGCTATATTTGCTTTTAGCACCAAGCAGGATAGAATTTCAAAACTAAGAACAAATTTCCTTCCCCCAGGTCCTACAGGAAAATACTGATATTATTGTAAAATAACAAAGCTGCATTTTCTTAAAAAAAAAAAAAGCCCACCCACACAGAAACCCACAAAAAACCCCCACACACCACAATGCTATACGTAACAGTGTATGTACAAAACATACATTCATTACTGAAGCATGGCATCCTAAAAATGCACAACACACACTACCTGTTAGCAGATCATCAATAGAGCAGGTATTTGCCTAAAACTGTAGCTGCAACCTTGATCTCTGAGCCAACAGCTTTAAATAGGATCCAACATATGGACATAGTCATGTGGAAGCAGACTGCCTAAGAGAGAATCTTCTTTCCCCATAATGCAGTAGCAGCCATGATCACAAATACTCAAGCCATCCTTCGTCCATACTCACAAAGGGAAGGGAAGATGACAAGCACTGCCATGCACTACCTAGGCTTTTAAAATGTCCTCCCATCTCTGTTTCAGAGAGAACTGAGAAAACCTGTCTGTGGGTTGGTTTACTTCTTTTCAATGCACGAAATACAAGCCAAAGCATTTAGCTATCAATAGTTGACTATGGGCTAGGGTTTAACAACATGAAGAGCTAAAACATTTAAAATTACAAACTGAAAGCATAATGAAAGTAGCAAAAGCATGTCTACATCATTTTAATTTCAATAAAACAATAAAGTAGAAATATTTCAGAACTTTGATAAAGCTGTAAGTTTTTTCTGGTTTTAAGAGGTCAGGAAAAGATAAGAATCCCCATCACCTGGCAAAATTCTGGAGTGATATTTAAGGAAATATTTCTTCATGTATACAAAGTAATACTCTTCCTGTTTAACATGTCTGGGGGAGAGATTTTGCTGAACATATTAAAACCTCTTCCTGCAAGAAAAAAGGAGAAGAAAACACCTAGTATATATTCAAGCTTCCATTTCCAGGGAGGCGAATAAAACACTGCTGCGTGTCTTACGCAGTGTGTCAAACCACATAACTACATTCTGAGCACACTAGTAAGTTTGCCCATTGTCACGCTGTGTAAACTTACCACTGTGCTTCAGACACAGATGAGTTTTGTTTCAGCAACAGTGTTTTTTAACTTGGCTAACAAAAACTAGTTAGAAAAGTGGCAATAGCTCTTAAGGGAACAGTGACTTCACATATAAAAATTTATGATGTGTTCAGAGTACAAATAAAAAGAAAGAAAAGGAAAAAAAAACCCCCTCACTCCTCTCTGTGCACCAGTAATTATCAAATTAGAGGGAACTTCTGTCGTTGGGGGTCCTTTTTAAGCACAGTTTATTTTCTGACAGATCACAGATGCTATGATCTTCCCGATTTTCCTTCCCAAACATGATCAAGCCAATACTGGACCC